GTGTATATGTGTATGTGGTATGTGTGTATGTACATGCATGTGCGTGTATGTGTGTATGTGTATATGTGTATGTGGTATGTGGTATGTGGTATGTGTGTATGTATGTGCGTGTATGTGTGTATGTGTGTATATGTGTATGTGTATGCATGTGCCGGCTCCTGGGGCTGTCGTCTGAGGGCCGGGGTACCGGGCAGGCGTGGGACCGGAGCAGCGATGCGTCCCTCTTGGCAGCACCTGCGTGCCCGTGACCTGGAGGTGGCCGTGCGATGGCAGGTGGTGGACAGGCGCACCCCCCTCTACCCGAGCCACAAGTCCATCCTGCAGAAGGCCGCCGCCCTGTTCACAGCCCACTACTGACGCGGCGCGACGCTGGGCCGGCCGGGCGGCTCTGTGGGCAGCAAGGCCCCCGCCCGGTGGGCCGGTGGCTGGACAGAACGTGGAGGACACAGGGCGCAAGGAGCCCTGGGCCGGGCGAGGAGCTGCTGCCCTGCCAGGTGTGCGGACTCACTGCCTGAACCGGAACCAAAGCGGGTGGCCCTCGGGGCGAGGCCAGCCCGCAGCGTGGCCGCCCTCCCCCGGCCCCCAGCTGGGTTCCCTTTGGGCTGGTGTCATCCGAGCGGCACCCCCAGAGCTGGCCTGAGATTGAGGGTCCCCTGCAGCCTGGGGCCTGTGCCTGCAAGGACGGGGCGCAGGGAGGGGCCTTGCCCACCAGACATCACCTCATGCCAAATGTGACCTAGTGTGACTCGGCTGGCGGCGCTCACGGTCAGGGCCGGGCCCAGGGTGGCCACGGCGGGCCTCCTCCCACGGCAGACTCCTGCCCCGTCTGCAGGAGCCCAGAGAGGCCGTGCTCTCCCCCTGCCCTCCTGGGGAAGGCCCTGGCGCGGGCGGGCGGGCGGTAGGGCTCATGGTGTGCAGGCCGGGACTCACTGAGGAGCCTCAGACGCCACCGGATGGACGGGAGCCATGCGGGAGCTGGAGACCCGAGTCTTTGAACTCTCCTTAAGTCTCAGTCTGCCAACATTTCCACACATAAAGTTACTGATATGTCCTGTGGCTGGGCTGTGACTCTGTGGTTCCTTGGTCATTTCCTGTGGGCACCATGGTCCCTCTGACCTTCTTCACTTTCCTAAACCCAGGCTCCAGTGTTGGCCAAGGCCTCCAAGCTGAGGCCTCGCACACACACATCTCCCCTGCCTCCCCCCACCTCCCCTGCCTACCCCATCTCCCTCACCTCCTCCCCCTGCCTCCTCCCTCCCCACCTCCCCCCTACCCGCCCCCTCAGGACAGCCCCCACCCCTGCAGGGGCCTGTGGAGCAGTCAGGTGCGTCTTGAGGATGAGGATGAGGCACACACCCGACTTCAGCCCAAGCCGTTGGCTGAACCTGCAGCCAGCCCCTCCCACAGAACCATCCGGCATTTGACAACAACCAAGATGAGCAAGGATAGGCATCCAAGTCAGCAAACAGAACTGGTATTGTGCAACCAGAGCAAACAGAATGCTCTAGAAAAGGGTAATAAGTCTCCTCAACATTAGGGAAGACACAGCTGTATAAAATGAAATAGAAATTGTATAAATGAAAAACATAACTGAGAAAGTGGCTATAGGTAGAGCTGGCCGGTGATGGCCGGTGCGGGGAGTGGAGGACGGCGATGGGAGGACAGTGGTGGGCAGGGCTGGGTGGCCAACAGAGCCGGCGCAGGGGGCTGTGGAGACCGGAAGCCGAGGGAGACAGGGCCGAGTCTGAATGACACAGACAGCGGACGGGGCTGGCCCGCGGTTCCACGCGCGCACACAGACAGCGGGCGGGGCTGGCCCACGGTTCCACGCGTGCGCACACACACAGCGGACGGGGCTGGCCCACGGTTCCACGCGTGCGCACACACACAGCGGACGGGGCTGGCCCACGGTTCCACGCGCACACACACACAGCAGATGGGGCTGGCCCACGGTTCCACGCGCACACACACTGACAGCAGATGGGGCTGGCCCACGGTTCCACGCCCACACAGACAGCAGACGGGGCTGGCCCACGGTTCCACGCGCACACACACAGCAGACGGGGCTGGCCCACGGTTCCACGCGCACACAGACAGCAGATGGGGCTGGCCCACGGTTCCACGCGCACACACAGACAGCAGACGGGGCTGGCCCACGGTTCCACGCGCGCACACACAGAAAGCAGACGGGGCTGGCCCACGGTTCCACGCGCACACACACAGCAGACGGGGCTGGCCCACGGTTCCACGCGCACACAGACAGCAGACGGGGCTGGCCCACGGTTCCACGCGCACACACAGACAGCAGACGGGGCTGGCCCACGGTTCCACGCGCACACACACTGACAGCAGACGGGGCTGGCCCACGGTTCCACGCGCACACACACTGACAGCAGATGGGGCTGGCCCACGGTTCCACGCGCACACACACTGACAGCAGACGGGGCTGGCCCACGGTTCCACGCGCACACAGACAGCAGACGGGGCTGGCCCACGGTTCCACGCGCACACAGACAGCGGACGGGGCTGGCCCACGGTTCCACGCGCGCACACACTGACAGCAGACGGGGCTGGCCCACGGTTCTGCGCGTGCACACACAGACAGCAGACGGGGCTG